TTTATTTATTTATTTATTTATTTACCGAACCTATTTTGTCTTGTTCTAAAAGATTTTATAATGTTTTTTGATCAGAAATTTCTGACGACCCCAAGTGGTAACATCACAAATTAAACTTGATGAACGCAAGCATGAAATCGAACTTAGAAGACTAGATCTCTTCAATCTTTCGAAATAACTCAAATATTAATGATCCACTTAAATCAGAAACATCTTGCAAAAGTTTGAAAATGTTATTTAATATTAACTCACCACTTAAATATACAGATTGGGATGAAGGTCGAACAAAACCTTAAGCCTAAAACATCTGCATTTCTAAAACAATAATACAGTATCATATAAAAAAAGACCATTTTACAAACTTACAAATACTTCAGCACTAAAAAAAATCATTTTTTAGTTGTGCTTAAGGCTGCACAGTGGGTACAATATTTATGTTTTCCACTGAACTTTGACCGAATTCCAGCACGCTGCGTTGTGTTAGACAGTATTTGGTTCGTTGTTTATGTCACTGCATGAATAAGCTGACAAAGCATAAGACCTGAAAAAGTCTATAGAATTTTATGAAGTATCACGTGAGAATGTAGGTGGCCCTTCTCAATATCCTTTTAGCCAGTTTGTCAGAGATATTAAGCCAGAAATGTGTAAAAATAGCATTCTGAATTTCTCCATTGTCTGTCACCGGTCAATAGTGAGTGACCACTACAGTTGATTTGTTTTTGTTTTCTTAGTGTAAAGTTGCATAATGAGCTATCTACACTGTGTCCATCATGGGGAATCGAACCCAGGATTTTAGCGTTGTAAGTCCGTAAACTTAATGCTGACCCATGGAGGGACAACTCTTAGAGAGAGAGAGAGAGAGACCCATGGGGACAACTCCTAGAGAGAGGGAGAGTGTGTGTGTGTGACCTATGGGGGACAACTCCTAGAGAGAGAGTGACCCATGGGGACAACTCCTAGAGAGAGAGAGATGTGTGTGTGTGTGTGACCCATGGGGACAACTCCTAGAGAGTGATCTATGATCAACAAAAGAGAACGATATGGTGTTTCTACATAAATTCTATTAAGCCTGCACAGACTTTTTGTTTGTCTTTAATAGTCTCTCTGAAGCTTTCTGTTAAAACTAATCAACACAGAATTGAGCATCAGCCTAGATTATTTCATTTCACACACATACCTTTCTAGAATAGTTGAAAACAACCAATCACAGAACGATTTAATTATTTTACTCTCACTTGAAAACCACATATTTTACATACCTTTCTAGAATATTTGAAAACAACCAATCACAGAACGATTTAATTATTTTACTCTCACTTGAAAACCACATATTTTAATATGTACTCTCGATAACTAAATTTTGTGTTTAACGTTTAAAGAAACTTTATTTATATTATCACAAAAGGTGAGTTTTTTCATTCTTTCTTTCACAACATCGTGTTTAGATAAAGGTTTATTAGTTTCCTAATCACCTAAAAATCTAAGATTTATCGAATGCCCGTATCGGTGATTTTTTTTTTTGGTTCTAGTCCTAGTTCTAAAGTAAGAACACTTAAGACCAGACTTCAGATTTGATTGGCTAAATCGCTTCTCGGATGGTGATTAGCTTGGATTCGATTGGATAACTTAGGATTTTCCCAATAAAACTTAGTTAAAAGGAAAGTATTGATTGGCTAAATCGTTTCTCGGATGGTGATTAGCTTGGATTCGATTGGATAACTTAGGATTTTCCCAATAAAACGTAGTTAAAAGGAAAGTATTGATTGGCTAAATCGTTTCTCGGATGGTGATTAGCTTGGAATTCGATTGGATAACTTAGGATTTTCCCAATAAAACGTAGTTAAAACGAAAGTATTGATTGGCTAAATTGCTTCTCGGATGGTGATTGGCTTGGAATTCGATTGGATAACTTAGGATTTCCCCAATAAAACGTAGTTAAAATGAATAATCTGTTGAAAAGAAGATTCTGAGATTGATGTCGGAGTTATCAATATAATCGTGTTTTAACGATACTACTCAGAACTGTCTCTATTCTAAAAACCTTAAATCAACACGTGTGTTTGCAACATCGAGTCAGTGCAACTTCGTCAGATAAACTAAAGAGACTTTGAGTTTCCCTGATCTATTTCAAACAAGTGGGGATTTCTGCCACTAATATGGAACTGTAATAGTTTGACATTTTTTGTTTTATTAGACTGTTTCGTAACTACATAAGGATATGGTGAAACATATGTGTAAAATGATGAAGTACACTGAAAGCTGTGGATTAAATCGTTTTTATTTTATTACCGTTAGAGTTTTTTAACGGATTAAGTCGTTTTTATTTTATTACCGTTAGAGTTTTTTAACGGATTAAGTCGTTTTTATTTATGCTGTAGTGTTTACCGTTAGAGTTTTTTAACGGATTAAGTCGTTTTTATTTATGCTGTAGTGTTTACCGTTAGTTTTTAACGGATTAAGTCGTTCTTATTTATGCTGTAGTGTTTACCGTTAGCGTTTTTAACGGATTAAGTCGTTCTTATTAGTGACGAACTGTGCTCGGCATCCGTCTAGAATGTTCATTTCTTTTAAATGAAGACAGAAACATCTTCCAATGGAAAGTAACTATTGTTAACATTCAGTGACAGGAAAACGTTAACATGGGTTATAGAGAAACTGTTGTTAACATTCAGTGACAGGAAAACGTTAACATTGGTTATAAAAAAACTATTGTTAACATTCAGGGAGAGCATATCGTTAACCTGGATGTAAAGCACATTCAGGGAGAGCATAACGTTAACCTGGGTGTAAAGCAACTGTTGTTAACATTCAGTGACAGGAGAATGTTAACATGGGTTATAAAGAAACTATTGTTAACATTCAGGGAGAGCATAACGTTAACATGGGTTATAAAGAAACTATTGTTAACATTCAGTGACAGGAAAACGTTAACCTGGGTTATAAAGCAACTGTTGTTAACATTCAGGGAGAGCATAACGTTAACCTGGGTGTAAAGCAACTATTGTTAATATTCAGGGAGAGCATATCGTTAACCTGGATGTAAAGCACATTCAGGGAGAGCATAACGTTAACCTGGGTGTAAAGAAACTATTGTTAACATTCAGGGAGAGCATAACGTTAACATGGGTGTAAATATCATGTGAAGAAATGTCTTCTAAAAAGTTATACAAATTAAGAATATATATATTTCATAACAAACCTTCAACCTTTGGACCTAATTTACAGTCTTTGATACGTTTTCGACATTGGCCTGAAAGCGCGGTCTTAAACGGGTTTAACGTCTGTGAGTTCCATTTGGATGAGCTACGTAAAATACTACATACAATGACAACTGCTACAATACAATGTTTCGTATATAAGGCACGTGTGTATAAAAAGTGTGAAGCACATAGCAACAAAAAAACACAGCTTTCAACTACATGTAGTAACCCACGACCACGTGTATTACATGTTCGCTTTCCCGATTTAAACATGACGTTTGAAACAATATTTATGTTTGTTTATGTGTTTTTGTAAGGCAGCAACCACCATTCACGCTTTGAATATATATTTGTAGTGAAATATATGTACACACACTTTTCTGGCTTCCGAATTTCTATTACGTGCTCAAAAAAGGCTGGAATATAAAGTTATCCTGGTCAACAAAGGGAAGCGGGCAACATAAAGTTAAGCCTAATATCGTTTGTCAAATTTAGACTTTTGCTCTGGCCTTCCAAAGTCTGATTGAGTATCCGTCCAACATCTTTTCTATATAAATCCCTGTCACTACAGTAAAATCCTTCACCAGATCCAACACGCGGGGAATATTTATTCGTCTTCTTTCTTATGAGGCTTAAAATCCACCATGGTGTGTAGCTCTTCAGGGGAGTAACCGAGTAGACTGTGCAGATCGCAAACAAACCTGTAGACATATCGCTTCCCAGCTGTTTTGTGGATAATGTTCTTGTCGTAGTAATATCTTAGGCCTCGACTGAGCTTTTCGTAGTTCATCTTTGGCTTGTTTTTCCTGATGCCCCAGCGACGAGCAACTTCGTCCGGATCGGTCAACTTAAATTCCCACTCGTTTCCAGTCCAACTAATGAAGTTCTGGCAGGTTTTATCCGTCAGGAGCTCTAGTAGAAACTGCCACAACTGAATAGGTCCACTTCCTAAAGTCATGGGAAATATACATCTTTAGAATTAAAAAAAAATAACAGTAAGCCCTTACTTAACCACTGACAATTCCGTAACTACCACAAGACTAGTCATTATTAGAGTTCTTTCTTTACCTTACAGTTTGGTTGTTTTCATTTAAATGTTTGTCTGTTGTATATTTCTTAGTTAGTTTGTTTGTTGTTAAGCGTAATACTACACGATGGGCTATTTATACACTACGAGTATCTAAACCCGGTTTTTAGCGTTATAACCCTTTACATTTACCGCTGATGAGCCACTGGGGGCATTTTACTTAGTGAACGCTGAAAAATCACAGCCTATTTAAATATAAGGTTAATGGTTACATATTCAAACTTTAAAGTTAGCTGTTTACATGTAAACTTTCACACATTTTTAGCATCCTCTAATAACACATTCTAAGAGAGTTACAAAAATGTACTTCTAACCTAACACTCTAACACACAAACCTTTTTTACATGTAAAGTTTCACACATTTTTAGCATCCTCTAATAACACGTTCTAAGAGAGTTACAAAAATGTACTTCTAACCTAACACTCTAACACACAAACCTTTTTTACATGTAAACTTTCACACATTTTTAGCATCCTCTAATAACACGTTCTAAGAGAGTTACAAAAATGTACTTCTAACCTAACACTCTAACACACAAACCTTAATTTAGAAGGTCAGCAGGAGAGCACACCAATGAATAAGTATTACAAAATACTGATATGACTTGATATATATATATATATATATATACCTATTTGTGTTGAGTTTGGAGAAAATATTACACTAATTTAACTTGAAGTTCCTTCACTACTTCGCTATCCATTTTTTGGGTTTATACTTTCTATTCAAATAATAGTAATGACCGTGGTCTACTATTTATTTCCTCCATTACGATTGATTCATTTAGGGCAAATAACGATATAAATTTTGACTGAATTTTAAAGTACACTGTAAACTAAACGTTGCCTTCTTCAGCTTGCTTCTTACCATTTTAAAGTTTTTTTCATGAGAAAACGTCTGTTTTAGCTCAAAGCTACACGATATACCATCTGAAGTCTGTTCCCCACAAGAGATCGAACACCGGATTTAAGCGTTGTAAGGAAATGAAAACTGTGTGATTGTTAAGCAGCTGAATCTATAATGTGTTTTTTTTTCACCAACTCGTATAAAAAGCTTCTTTGTACCTGACTGTTGATAAAACCAAACAAAAAAATCATTAAGATGTGAAAAAAAATTAAGTTGTGTTAACCTAAGTTCATAGTTGTGTTACACTGTTACGTTCAAGGGGCTCTAACTTAGTTTAAATTGTTCCTTCCGACCTTCTGAATTAAAGTACACAGCTACACCAAGAACACACCGGAGTAACCTGCTAGAGCGGCGGCTTGAACAAAGGGTTTGCTGTCACTTCCCAACAGGGGGCTCTGTTCTGGCGTCTGATTAAGATGTTGACTCTGCATAGGATTGACATGATTAAGTTGAGCGTGGGAATCACGTGGTGGCAACCTATTGAAGCCTGGGTGATGAGAATGATGCCCAGTCATTTCGGAGAGCCATTGGTCACTTGGGTTAGCCAATGATCCTGGAACAGTTTGAAATGGTGGTTCATACTGTTGGGGTGTATTATACCTATCTGGAAGCGCCATCTCTTGGTGATACCGAACTGTTAAAAAATAAAATAATGACAATATGAAATAAGATCTTCAAGATTATAAAAGAGTAATACGATACACTTATAAGATTTGTTGTTTTTCGGAGAATTGGCCAAGTATGAATGCTTCTGGTTTATTAAAACATATGAAGAAAATAGGCGTAACAATATGATAAAGAGGATAAAATGACTTGAAAAATCAGCTACAACTTAGAGAAAAAAAAAAGTCAAGCCTGCAGTTATACGGTTATATATTATATAACCTGCAGTTATACGGTTAGGTGCCAAAGAAAATAAAACAAAAAGATTTTGGGTTAATTCATAGAGGTTCCTATAGTTATCGCGGCTGTGAATTATTACAGACTTGTATTCGACGTGCCATTGAAAACACTTAGTGGTTTTACAAGTACTCCAGAGCTTTGATTGAATGACCATTTGTATTCAAGCCGTTTTTCACAAGTATATAAAATTGGATACTTATAATGATACTTTGGTTTGAGCTAACAACTGATGTCTTTATACTCAAACCAGGGAGTCGAAGTTCACAGTTAATGATCTCATAACTACGCCAGAGATTGACATTTGTATAAAACCAATTTTAGATCAACTTAGATCTTAGAGCATAACAACGATCTTAATTGCCAGGGGAAAATGTTATATCCAGTTATTTAAGAAAATGAAAAAAAAACAATTGAAAAAAGAAAAACGGTCCATATTTTGAAACTTCCGGCCATTTGCACAGTTTGCACCATGAACTTTGTTTGTCTTGTCTAAAATATTCGCATCTTCTCCATTTGCACAATTTGCACCATGAACTTTGTTTGTCTTGTCTAATATATTCGCATCTTCTCCATTTGCACAATTTGCACCATGAACTTTGCTTGTCTAAAATATTCGCATCTTCTCCATTTGCACAATTTGCACCATGAACTTTGCTTGTCTAAAATATTCGCATCTTCTCCATTTGCACAATTTGCACCATGAACTTTGCTTGTCCTGTCTAAAATATTCGCATCTTCTCCATTTGCACAATTTGCACCATGAACTTTGTCTTGTCTAAAATATTCGCATCTTCTCGTGTTTAAAAAAAAAAACTGTGCTTCAAACTTCACACCGGCAACAACTTTTTTATTTCTAAATAATTGCTGTCCGCCCTGACAACATGCCGTTGTTTCGTATCTCCGACTTCCATAAACACCATAACACAACTATAACAATTATTCCTAAAAAGGCATTACTGTGTGTTTACAAATAATTGGTTGATTACTCAAGCCTGAAGTCACCATGAGTCAGGGAAAATCGTGTCACTGTGCAAAAGCGATAATTTTTTTTGTGTGTGTGTAAGAAATGACTCATAAACGAAATATTGCTGTGTTATTCATGGGGGATTTATCACTGTGTTCGAGGCTAAGTTTGTGAACTTTTACTGAGTACGAGGTTAAGCCAATAAACATTAATTGTAACTATTCTGCTAATAATTAATACAAAAAAAACACTTTGTGTTTCTTACTTGTCTATAACACTTTTGTTAATTTTACCTTTCATAAACCGAAAAGAAACGAAACTTTTCACTTGTTTAGAGAGAGGGGGAGAGAAAAATCACATCAAAATAATCTAATCATATGAAATAAAAATAGGGAATCACAAACAAATATCAAACAATAATATCATCAAGTAAGTTTCGCTACAAAGCACAACGAACTGAAAATTCGTTAAACTAATTGGATTCGATTAACACTCGTAAAACTGTTCATTGACCGTCACATTATCACGCCCCCACGGCTGAAAGGGCGAGCATGTTTGGTGTGACGGGGATTCGAACCCGCGACCCGCAAATTGCCAGGCCTCAATTAGTTTAATAGCGCAGATAGCCCTCGTGTAGCTTTGCGCGAAATTCCAAAACAAACAAAGCCCACTAAGTTTGTCGTGTCTTAACAGTCAAGAGTTTTCCCAATTCATTATAAAAGCCTCAAACGTTCCTTCACTATATACGACGAACGAAAATTCGCTCAAGTTTCAAAGAACACCAGTTTAGCAGTGGTAACATATTTTTTTTTTGGTGTGTTCCTTCACCAATGTGCAGGATAATAAATCAATTGTGTGGATAAGTTTGGTTTTGGTTAACTGGTTAAGTACAAACCCACACCATTTGTGGCGTTGTAAGCACGCAGAGACTCTAGGAGGGCGGATTAGATTAGCAATTCTGGTCTTTGGGATTAGACCTGGCACAGAATCTGTTTTAGGGAGTCCTCATTGGGGGTTCATACCCGGTGATTAGCGAGGACTCGGGGGTTAACTAATTACTTATTGTCGAGTTTATATCTAAGATAACGAAAGGCAAGTGTGTCTCAACAGGACACAAAGTTTTGATAACAAACGATGAGATGCAGGTTTGACACTAGAACTGGTGAACAACATAACTCTGTGCACTGTAGAAAGTAGGGTTTGTGCGCATAACGTTTGAATATCGGGCTGCCAATCTGAGGGACCAAAGTCTGACTCCGTGGTAAGCTATTGAATATGCTTTTATCTTTAGCAGTGGGCGCGTTATAAAAGTGACTGTCAATATCGATATTCGTTTAAGAGTAAATCCATGTAGGCGACGGGTATACTTGATTGATTGCTCTCTTTTGTTTTAACAGTCCACAATTGTGGACGGTAAAATGCATGAACCTCTGAACCCATGTCCAGATTGAAAGTACCCAACACCTAGCGTTTAAATTGAAATGTTTTTTTTTGTTTTTTTTATGTTAGCACATACACCACTCTTCGAAGGACACAGTTTCATAAATGCGTGAATATTGTTAAGACATACAGCTTAAATGTGATTGTAAAGCTCGTGACGCGATTTTGTTTGTTTGTTTTGAATATCGCGCAAAGCCTATTCGAGGGCTATTTGCGCTAGTCGTTCCTAATTTCGGAGTGATAGTTTAGAAGAGAGGTAGCTAGCTACTCAATACCACCCACCGCCAACTCTCGGTACACTTTTTTTTACCAACGAATAGTGGGATTAACCATAACATTACAACACTGAAAGAGTAAGCATGTATTAAGAGACGGGATTCGAACCCCCAGTCATACCAGACCCTCACAACGTGATAATGCTTCCACATTTAAAAAAAAAAAAACTAGGCCAGCTTGCTTGTTTCGGAGTTTTCACACAAAAGGCAATAAGCACATAGTCATCGCTAATCTTCAAACTGATAGACTAGGAAGAAGACAGCTAATTTACTGTACGTACCGCCAACTCTTGGGTACTCTGCGGGGAAATACTAAAATTTACTAAAAATAAATATGTATCATCCAAATATGTTGTGTAAACTAGAACAAACATGGTCGAGTGTATCATCCAAATATGTTGTGTAAACTAGAACAAACATGGTCGAGTGTATCATCCAAATATGTTGTGTAAACTAGAGCAACCACGGTCGAGTGTATCAA